TATTGACTGCATATAACAACAATAATAAACAGCAACAATGGCAGCAACTCAGTTATACAACAATAGCAATATGTAAGTTAGAAAGGGCATAGATGGATTAAATTGTCCTAAGGCACTTGCTTTGTCTAGGAGGATAATAGTATCATCTAACATTATGACTGATAACTCAAGGAAACATTTTGTATCCTTTAGGGTAACTCCTAAAGGATACTGAAAACATGTGTGACATTTAAGCCAATAGAACAAAATGGAATAAACAAAAAACATTCAATACAAAAGGAGGACAGAAAGGAGAGAAAAAGGAAACAGAACCAATAAAAAGCACTGAATAAAATGATAGGTGTTTATCACTGATTTGTTATTAATTACACTAAATGTAGATAGACTAAATGCTCAAAATCAGAATTTGTCAGACTGAATTAAAAAAACTCAATTGTATACCTAAAATTTTATGAGACATATGTATACCTAAAATTTTATGATATATATATATATATACAGTCTAAATAACTCAGAATGGTTACAAAAAGAGTAAAAGATACCATGAAAACATCATCCACAAGAAGGCAGGCTAATGTAACTATGTTAATAACAAAGGAGGCTTTAAGCCATAAAGCACTTACTAGAGCAAAAGAAGGACACTTCAGGCTTAATTCACTGGGAAGGCAAGGTGATTCACAATTTTAATATATCTAGTAACATGGCTTTTTTGGAGGAGGCCAAACTACAGGGAGGGAACACAGTCCCACCCATAGCAGAAAACTGGATTAAAGGTTTACTCAGCATGGCCTTACCCACCAGAGCAAGACCCAGATTTCCAGCCACACCCTCCCATCAGGAAGCTTCTGTAAGTCTCTTATCCTCATCCATCAGAGGGCAGACAGAATGAAAACCACAATCACAGAAAACTAACCAAACTAATCACATGGATCACAGCCTTGTCTAACTCAATGAAACTATAAGCTATGCTGTGTGGGGCCACCCAAGACAGATGGGCCATGGTGGAGAGTTCTGACAAAATGTGGTCCACTGGAGAAGGGAATGGCAAACCACCTCAGCATTCTTGCCCTGAAAACCCCATGAACAGTATGAAAAGGCAAAAAGATAGGACACTGAAAAATGAACTCCCCAGGTCAGTAGTTCTCAATATGCTACTGGAGAAGAGCCGAGAAATAGCTCCAGAAGGAATGAAGAGGCTGAGCCAAAGCGGAAACAGCACCCAGTTGTGGGTGTGTATGGTGGTGAAAGTCAAGTCCGATGCTGTAAAGAACAATACTGCGCAGGAACCCAGAATGTTAGGTCCATGAATCAAGGTAAATTGGAAGTGATCAAACAGGAGATGGGAAGAGTAAACATCGACATTTTAGGAATCAGTGAACNAGATGATTCAATGGTATCACTGACTCAGTGGACATGAGTTTGAGCAGGCTCCAGGAGATGGTGAACGAAAAGAAAGCTTGGTGTGCTACAGTGCACTGGGTCGCAAAGAGTCACATGACTGAATGACTGAACAACAACATGATTCTGGGAAATGTTAATCTGTATCAGTGACTGATACACTGAGCAGAGGAAAAAAAACATTAAAAAATGGAAGATTTGAGATACATAGTTAAGAAACTTAAATGGGCATTTTAGAATACTATACCCAACAACTCCAGGATGCATATTATTTTTAAGCACGCATAGAACATTTGCAAAAACTGATTTTATACTGTGTCATAAAACAAGTATCAACCATTTCAAAGAGTTGAAATCGTGCCTGTGTGTCCTCTGATTAAAAAAAAAGCAATGAAACTAGAAATCAATGACAAGATAATTGTAATATGTTTGGAAATTAAGAAATGCAAGTGTAATCTGTTCAAAGGAAGTATAACAGAAACTAGAAAATATTTTGAGCTGAAAAATGACAAAAATGCTATGTAAATATCCAATTTGTGAAATGCTGCTGATGTGATGCTTAGAAGGAAATTTGTAGGCTTAAAGGCATTTGTTAGAATAGAAAAGATGAAAATAAGATTAAGTATCCTTTTTTAGAAGTTAGAAAAATCAGAAGCAAAAAAAGTAAAAGGAAGGAAATTAAGTTAACAGAAATTAAAACAGAAAATAGACATCTTCTGATGCTGGGAAGGATATAGTAGGTGCCTGCAACAATTAGAAAAAGTAATTGATATATTTTAAGTGTCATTTTTAAAAGACAGGGAAGAACTGTGGAAATAAAGGGGACTCAATGAACTAAAGGGTAGACAGGAAAGAGTTCTTCCTAAGTGATCTGTGATCACTGGCCATTTTTCCCCCCCTCAGGGCATTGGTAACATCTCGGCACAAGACTTAACCAGCAAGGCTTTTAAAGAGTCTATGGTGGGGGTGGGGGAGTATGGACTGGAACCTAGAGGAGCCCCAAATGTAAGGCCGATTTTCCCCCAGAGCTTTAGGGTTTTGGTAGACAACTCTTTTACTAATGGAAAAAAGTTTGAATCTATCATGTGTTATTTACCTAGCTGTGTTAATGTGATCTTCACTCAGTCTTGAGGATTTAATCACTGTTAATTCCGTGTTCCATGATTTTTTTTTTGGTCAGAAATAGCAGAATATCTTAAATTGCCCTATGACTTTGATGTTCGATGGCTTAGCAATGGTGACACTGTAGTGTGATTTTTTTTTAACTCAAAACAAGATTGAGATTTTTCTTAGTAAGAAAGCGACCCTCAACCACTATCATGGAATACTGAGTGACTTTGGAATCAGCTTTTGCTGCAGACTTGGTAGTATTTTTTTTTATGAATCCAACCTAAAATTACAAAGTAACACAGAGCTTATATGCAGAATTTATACTATAGTAGTCATTTCAGTGGCAATTAACATTGTCTGAATCACAAATAATGGTAAGCTACTTTATATACTTCCCCTGCTGCCAAAGCTAAAAAAATAAGGTCTCCATTCCCATGCATATTTGCAGTGAATATTTTCTGAATTTAAACTATAATTCCAGGAACACTTTTTTGACTTTGAAACAAGTGCAAAGGAAATTTCCATATATCAAAGTTATTTAAGTGTGTATAATGGAAGCATTATAACCTTCAATTGGAAGTGATTAATCTACATTGTAATGACATGCTAAAAGGCATTAAATATCAAGAGAAGAAGCTATTGAAATTCTGTAAGTGCCTTCCAGGCAATAAATATGCACAATTAAAAGTATATGCTTGGGGCTTCCCTGGTGGCTCAGTGATAAGGAGTCTGCTTGCTAATGTAGGAGACAGAGTTCAATCTCTGATCCAGGAAGATAAAGCTCATACACAGTTACTGAGCCTGTGCTCTAGAGTCTGGGAGCCAAAACTGCTGAGCCCACATGCCACAACTACTGAAGCCTGCACGCTCTAGAGTCTGTTCTCCACAACAACAGAAGCCATTGCGATGAGAAACCTGCCCACCAAAAGTAGAGTATCCGTTGTTCTCTGAAACTAGAGGAAAGCCCACATAGTAGTGAAGACCCAGCACAGTCAAAAATAAATAATTTTTTTTTTAAAAAAGCATGTTTATGGATTGAGATCAGTATTGCCAGCACCTATCTGTGAAAGACTTTTCTGAAATTGAAATATAGTTGATTTACACACTGTGTTGGTTTCAGGTGTACAGCAAAAAGATTTGGCTTTAAAATTGTTTTCCATTATATGTTATTGCAAGCTACAGAATACAGTTCCCTGGCTACACAGCAAATCCTTGTTGTTTATTTATACATGGTAGTGTGTATCTATTAATCACACGCTCCTAATTTTTCCCTCCTTTGCCCTTTTCCTCTTTGGTTAAGTTTCTTTCCTATGTCTGTGAGTCTATTTCTGTTTTGTAAATAAGTTCATTTGTACTGTTTATTAGATTCCACATATAAGTGATATATATTTGTCTAAAAAACATTTTCAAAACTGAAATAGGGGAAAGTCTCATTGCACATCACCAGTAACAGATGATCATCTGGAGTCAGTTTTAATATCTGAACCCCAATTAATCAAAATGGTGTCCCCTAAGTAAGAGTTTCATTCTTTTCTTCAGGAGACTTGTATTGCAAAAAAACCCCTGTAGTCAATTATTATTACTATCTTTTGAGTTTTGTCAATGAGTTTGTTTTCTTTCTTGTTATTTTAGTACCTATATAATATGCGCACTTTTGTATTTTGGCCCATAAAGTCTAAAATATTTACTGTCAGGCCCTTTGAAGAAAAAGTCTGTTAATTCCTATTCTACAGCAGATAAAAAGAAAGAAGAACTAAATATAAACACATGGATGAATCTCAAAAATATAATAAGAATTGAAAAAAGCCAAATTAAGAAAAATCTACAGTATGAGACTATATCAAGATCAACATCAGCACTAAACTACTGTATTGCAGAATAGTGATTATTTTTAGAGGACAGGGAGAGAGAGAGTTGTGATTGGGACTGAGTGGGAGCTTATGGGATTTCTTGACCTGGGTGATATCTTCAGAGGTTAGTAATACACATTTATTCATCAAGTTGCACATTGATTTTTTTATACTTTGCTTTATGTATCATATTCTAAGGTTAAAAGTTAGAAATATCTCTGTATATATACAAACATGTACATAGATGTATTATATCTGCAAATACACAGAATAATCCTGGAAAGATCAACAAGATCTTGGTAAGCAACTATCACTGGGCATGTAAACTGAGGACTGGAGGTCAGACTGAAGGGAAAGAGGCTTACTTTCCTCACGTTTCTGTCCTTTTGTAGTTTCAATTTTTTTTTACAATGTGTATGTATTAATTTTTCAGTTATAACCCAGTTAATGTAAAGTTTTTTTAAGTGCTAGAATTTAGAAACTGAGACCCTGTGAGTAGGAAATGTTTGGATCATGGGGCCCAAAAGCAGCAGAACTGAGCTATGTCTGGACTCTGTAATTGTATCACAGTAATTTTTTGGATGTGTGTTTCTAGAAAGATGACATAATCATAAACATTTGTGTGTGTGTGTGTTTTTACAGGATGATCTTTTAAAGAGAAGCTGTACAAATCATCATAGAGAATTCCAGTTGTCTGCCCTTCTTCCAAGATGTGCAGCTCTTAGGGCTTGTCAGTGTGTGTTGCATATGAGGAAAGATTTCTCTTCTTTAAACTCCCAATGATTTAACGTGATTTTCAGTAATAACAATCAAATGAAGGAGCTTTATTCTCTCTGGTATTTCCTAGATGCTCTACTTAAAGAGAAAATTTTCTCATGTCTCATTTCAACATTTCGTTCACTACAAAGATATACCGGCTTGTTGAGTCAAATATAAATCAGTAAAAAAAAAAATGTTACTGAATATTTCTTAAGTGGTTTTGGTTTGCTGTTCAGAGTGTATTGGCATTATCTGTTAAGGTTGAAAATATGCAATCCCATGAGCCAGCATTTCACTGTCCAGTAGAAATGCAGAGTATGTGCACTAACAGGTGTGACAAGACTGCTGTAGCAATACTATTTATGCTGGCTCAGAACTGGAAATCCGAACGTTTGTCTACAGAGAAACAGAAAAATAAGCCCTAGTATATCCATGCGATGTCATGTCAAGTTATCATTGAGCTTTAACTCTGAGAAGTGTATTCATGAAACACCCATGGAGAGGGTGCTGCTGGAGAACTATCTGCCCATCCCACGTGTTGACAAGAGTCGGGGTTAAATGGACCTCTCCTCATTTAAAGATCAGAAAATAGGAAAAATAATAAATAACCAAAAGCGTCAACAAAAAAACCAACATGGGACTCATGTAAAGAACTTACAAAAGAAAGTGTATGTTATGTGAACACAGAATAAAAGCCTATCTTAGAAAATATCTTACTATGGAAACAAGAAAAGCTTCAGACTATCTGTTTGGTGTTTTTAACAGGATGCAAAAAGAAATGGCCCCTTAGAAAACTGAAGCAAGTATTAATAAGAACAGAGGTTAGCCCTAAATGACCAGTCCTACAAGCAACTAGAATTCTTAAAGAAGAAACCAAAACAGAAACAATAATCAAAGTTATAATAAAAATTTTTCTCAACTGAAAAAAATACCTGATCATACAAATCTGGAAGAGTTTTACCTTATCCGAGGAAAACTATGACTGGGGCAACATTTTAATTTTTTTGCTTTGTTTGCCTTGAGGATCACTGATCAACAGAAAAGTAGTGTACAATTAAGCAGCAATTGAATTTTATTTTGTTCCTTTAAAAATGCTAACCCTGGGTCTTTCCTGGTGGTCCAGTGGCTAAGACTCCACACTCCCAGTGCAGGGGGCCTGAGTTCAATTCCTGGTCAGGGAACTAGATCCCACATGCTGAAACTAAGAGGTTCACATGCCAAGATGAAAGATTCCACATGTCACAACTAAGACTTGGTGCAGCCAAACGAAAAAATTTTGTAATGCTAACATTAACTAGGTAAAGGTATTATTCACTTTTGAAATGAAAAATCAGGAAGACAAAATGAGAAGATATGAGTTGGATGATGGGAGAGAAAGGTGGGAGGAAGAATGTGGTACCGCAGGGAACAGGAGACTTTCCGTAAAGAGCCAGTAGACTTTGCAGGGAAGATGGTCTCTGTTGCAACTACTCAACTCTGCCATTTTAGGACAGAAAAGGGTAACAAATGAATGAACACTGCTGTGTTCCAAAAATAAGCTTTTTATACAAAAACTGGCAGGCCAGATTTGGTTCCTGAGCCATAGTTTGCCCACCCCTGCTGTACCACAGTGAACTATAAAATCAATGCCTACTTTAATAAAGGATAGGGTGAAACAGATCACCAGCCCAGATTGGATGCATGAGACAAGTAAGTGCTCAGGGCTGGTACACTGGGAAGACCCAGAGGGATGGGATGGAGAGGGAGGTGGGAGGGGGGATCGGGATGGGGAACACATGTAAATCCATGGCTGATTCATGGCAATGTATGGCAAAAACCACTACAATATTGTAAAGTAATTAGCCTCCAACTAATAAAAATAAATGGAAAAAAATTTTTTTTTAAAATCCCTGTGATCATGACAGCTGGAGCCATGAAGTGGGTTAGGGCTGCCACACTAGTACAGTAAGTAGTAATGTACAATCACAACAAACCAGTTTCTGAAATAGGAAATGTTTTTTGCATGGAAGCATAATTAGTTACAGCAAATCCGTGTGCTTCTTGACAAAGGCATTGCCTCTCTCCAAAAAGCTTAAAAGTAGGCAAGGTACAATCCAAGGAAGAAGTTTGTAGTGTGAGTAAAGGATCTTTTGGGGATGAGAAACTGTTGGCACAAAATAGTTGGGGAGTCCAAATTCCTGAAGCACAGAGCTCTCAGACAAATTGAATTCTGAGTATATATTAGTTTAGGGCAGCTCCCACTACTAACTCTCGTCCCTCTTAATTCTAGATCCTGTTACTCACCTGGGAGTAGAGTTGCATCTACTAAGACTTGGAGTGCTTTTATGCAGTAAGCATATATGGAAAGTAAGCTAGTAGATTTCAGTCTCTAACCAGTCAGATGAGTTTCTCCATTTCACTTGAAGAAGAGTAAGAGAGAGAATACAGATAGGCTGTCCTAAGTGGGGAAGGGGGAGGAGTGAGTACCCCATGTTCTGTAGAATCTTGTTGACAATAAGGGATCCCCCACTACCAGACGACAGAAGAATTTCCCAGAAAACTAAAATCATTGAAGGAGGTATCTTTATTGAGTTCAGTTGCTCAGTCGTGTCCAACTCTGTGACCCCATGCAATGCAGCATGCCAGACTTCCCTGTGCTTCACCATCTCCTGGAGCTTGCTCAAACTCATGTCCATCGAGTTGGTGACATCATCCAACCATCTCATCCTGTCATCCCCTTCTCCTCCTGCCTTCTATCTTTCCCAGCATAGGGTTTTTCTAAGGAGTCAGTTCTTCTCATCAGGTAGCTAAAGTATTGGAGCTTCAGCTTCAGCACCAGCCCTTCCAATGAATATTCAGGACTGATTTCCTTTAGGATGGACTGGTTGGATCTCCTTGTAGTCTAAGGGACTCTCAAGAGTCTTCTCCAACACCACACTTCAAAACACTTCACCATACCTCAGTGCTCAGCTTTCTTTATAGTCCAACTCTCACATCCATACATGACTACTGAAGAAACCATAGCCTTGACTAGACAGACTTTTGTCGGGAAAGTAATGCTTTTTAATATACTGTCTAGGTTGGTCATAGTTTTTCTTCCAAGGAGCAAGTGTCTTTAAATTTTATGACTGCAGTCACCATCTGCAGTGATTTTGGAGCCCAAGAAGATAAGATCTTTTATTGTAGGTATCAAATATTAAGAAAACTGGGAACAAGGGCCAGTTCTCAACTGTGGCTGCATGTTAAAATCATCTGAATCCTTTAAAAAATGGGCTCTTCAGCCTCTCTCTAGACCAATTAAGATAGATCTTTAGAAAAGGAGCAAGTCAGGGGTATCTTAAAAAAAAATCTTTCTAAGTGATCTGATGTGCATTCAAGGTTTAGAATTGGAGACGACTTTCCCAAAGACACTGTCCCTCCTCAAGCATTTACCATTCAGAGAGATTTACCATGGAAGACATATCTTCAGTACAGGTTTCAGTGATGTTTTGAAGGGGAGGGCAGGAACTGTATCTCATATGTTCATCTGTTTATATCCTGGTGCCTGGCACAATCTCTGGCACAATACTAATCTCTCAATAAGCATTTACCGCATGAACTTCTTCATACCTAAGGTTTGTATTAGGTCGTGAAAGTCACTCAGTTGTGTCTGACTCTGCGACCCCATGGGCTATACAGCCCATGGAGTTCTCCAGACCAGAATACTGGTGTGGGTAGCCTTTCCCTTTCTAGGGGATTTTCCCAACCCATGGATCAAACCCAGGTCTCCCGTATTGCAGGAAGATTCTTTACCAGCTGAGCCACAAGGGAAGCCCAAGAATACTGGAGTGGGTAGTTTATCCCTCCTCCAGTGGATCTTCCTGACCCAGGAATCAAACTGGATCTCCTGCATTGCAGGCAGGTTCTTTGCCAATTGAGCTATCAGGGAAGCCCAAAGCAAACATTTGTGTGGTTTTGGGAAGCATTTATGATGTCCTGGTATTTTATGGTATGAGTTTTTAAGAATATAATTCTAATTTATAACATTAATTTCAAGTAAATAATATTTAACTTTATATGATTCAACTGGTGAATACTATCAAGAAATCAGGAAAGTCATAAAAGGAGTAAGGGATCTCTGTATTATATTCTGAAAGGGACTTATCCCATTTATCCTTGCACAAACAGCATTCAACAACCTGAGAAACCTCCGACAGAGGATTTAGAGAAGATGCAGAGATATTCTCACCATTTTTATTTTAAATGTTAAATACATTATATTAAAACAATTATAGTCAGCTTCCAATTATGACAGAAAGAAGAGGTCAGCAATCCACTTTACTAAAATATGTATATATATATATATATAACTGGACAAAATTGTCAAAAGCACCTATTTTAGGGTGGTAGAAATCTACCAAAGATGGACAAAAAATTGAAAACTTGCTGAAGATTCAAGTAAGAATAGCTTAAGTCTAGTACCCACCCCACCCCACCCCCAACCCCTCACCGAACTCAGTCAGCAAAATGGTAGTCTTCTAACCCAGCAGCTTTCGGTGCCAGACTTGGAAGACTTAGGTTTAGGGTAGGCAGTGGGGGTGAAATCTTGTGACTTCATATGAGAATTAGTGAACTTGGTTAGAAATGAACAGGAAAAACCCACAGCTGTGTTAGCCCAGAGATGTAGTCTCAGTTGGGATGAGTAGCAGACCAACCAGAAGTTAAATGAAAGAAATCACAGAAGGGTTAAGACGAGTTCTCCATGCATCATTAGGGTGACTAGGAATACCGAAAATTAACCCAGATGTGGGAAAGAATGGAAAAATAAGACCACAACACTGGTGGGACAAATAGAAAACAAAAGAACAAAATAGTACACCTAAACTCAACTATTGTTGAGTCACTGAGTCATGTCCAACTCTTTTATGACCCCATGGACTGTGTAGTCCACCAGGCTCTTCTGTCCACAGGATTCCCCAGGTAAGAATACTGGAATGGGTTGCTATTCCCATCTCCAGGGATTCTTCCCATCCCAGGGATCAAATCCGCATCTTCTGCATTTCAGGCAGATTCTTTTTGCGACCCCATGGACTGTAGCCCACCAGGCTCCTCCATCCATGGAATTTTCCAGGCAAGAGTACTGAAGTGGGTTGCCATTTCCTTCTCCAGGGGTTCTTCCTGACCCAGGGATCGAACCCGGGTCTCCCACATTGCAGGCAGACGCTTTACCATCTGAGCCACCAGGG